TACATTTAAAACTTTGAAACTATCACAAATTTATTATGAATTAAAATTTATATTCCAATTTATTTTTCCAAACTCAACAACTCACCGTCTCATATTTTATTGTGATTTTCCATTTTTATATTTTGGTCTACTTTAGTTCACTTATTATTGGAAATTTTGTTATTATTGTTTTTTTTTTTTCTATAATGCCACTTAGAACTAATATTTTTATGAGAAATTTTTTGTGTTGTGCATATTATAGTTTATAAAAAAAAAACCAGTTATACTTATAATCACCTAAGCCTACCATTCTTATTATCAATTTAATAATTGTTAAATTAAGCTTACCAAAAAAAAAAATTTGTTAAATTATTTTTAGATCCAACTAAATGTTAATCAATCAAATAGTGGTGGCCAGGCACACTTTTATCCCAATTCTAGATTTTCACTGAAATAGTAAAGGGAAAAAACTGCCACATCATACGAGGAAGGATCTAAGGGCTTGTTTGGTGTGACGTATAAGACCTAATAATATAAACTTATACTATATGTTATGACATTTTCAGTTGTTTGGTGTGACCATCGTATAGTATAAGCATTTGTTTGGAAAGATAGAGAAAATTAACAGAATATGGTGATGGAGAATGTGGCTCTAATGTTGGAAGCATTTATGTTTTCTATCTAATTATGGCATCTAAACATTCCCGTAAAAATCTATTATGAGTTATGAGAATTGTCAAGCATGTAGATAATTGCTAAGAGATTTTTTCATCTTAAATAATGATTTTGAGTTTGAGTGCATGAGAATACAACCCTATTAATATTGGATATGGAAAATTTTGCACACCCAACTGAATCAGATTAGTCGAGTAATTAACAAATAATATTCACAAAAAAAAAAAAATTAACAAGAATAATTTAGATTCTCTATTTTAAGAATTTTTCTTTGGTGCTACGAGAGTACTGTATTCAGTACTCCCTTTTTCTTAAAAAAAATGTATTCTCATTTAAACCCATATTTTTATCTTTATTTTCATTTAAATCTCAATTTTTTATTTTGGATAGACGTATAGTGCAACAGTAGCACAAAAAAAAAATGCTCCTATTTTAGAGCAGATGAGATGAGAGAGAGAAAATTGGGATGAAAGCAAAGTTATGAAAATCAGACCGGACCGACCGGGTCGACCTGGAATCCGGTGAACCGGTTATCATATTGGATCAGCCAAGTACCAGACTGGGTACGACCCGGTGCGACCCGACCAGTTTTGGTGAAAACTAGAGACCCGACTCGGGCTTTTAAGAAAAATATATATTTAAAAAAAAAGTTTTCTAAAAAAAACCATAATTGACATATTTGGGTGATCTGTTACTTATTGACCTACATAAGTTATGTACTTATAATACCAGTACTATCTCAGTTATGCATTATGCAGGAAATTTTGATTTGATTTATAGTTAGAGATGTCGTTTATTGAACCTGAAACACCAATATCACAAGCATTATATATTTGTTTGATCATTTATTGTATAATAATGTATAATTGATTATGTTTTATATTAAAATATTTACAATTTATATTAATTTTTTCAGCTCTTTGAGCATGTTTATAATTTTTTAATATAAATTATAAATTTATATATAATCACCCGATCATGTAGTTCAACCAATGACCCACTGACCTGATACCTCGACTGAATCATTGATCGAATCGGTTTTAATAACCTTAGATGAAAATGTGTCTAACCACTACCACCGATTTGCAGGTGAAATGAGAGAGAAATTTTTTTTAAGAATAATTAGAAATTAATTAGATCTAAAAATAATCAAACATGTACAAAAATAAAAATAAAAATAATCAAACAATACTAAAATTGATCATTGACATTAAAATGATAATTTGGAGTGCTGGTGAATATAATCGTCCAAAATGCAGGTAACTGGACCTACAAATGACAAGACAAGCCCATAATAGGTGAGGCCCAATTGCCAAATCAAAGTCTTTGTCGAATCATATCACCATAGAACCGCATGAGGTTTCACTGTTTGGATACGAAGAGGGTGCAAAAATGAAAATGACACAGTAAAGTAACCATTGATAGTTCTCAAAAGCTTCATCAGAAATGGCGTTACAGTGTCTGAGGCATCCCGTAATCATCTCACGTGGTTTGCACGCTGAGACAACCTTAACTTTCCTTTCTCGTTTACGAAATCTGAAGCTCCCACTCACAGGTACAATCTTTTTCGGAATCCTATTTTGTTCGATTTATTGGTTACTGCTGTTTTATTTGTATTGAACTCTTAAATTCGTTCTGATAGTGTGAGGCAAATGGACACTTATTTATTTATTTATTATTATTGTTGTTGCACGGAACACGATACAATACATTAATTCTAAAAATTATTAGATTTTGACATGTTGGACACGTTTTGATATTAAATAATATTTTTAACATACGTAGTGTATATTATATTTAATATTCAATAATTTAATAAAAAATGAAGTTAAACTTATAATTGTCATCAATTTTGCAAACAAACATAAGATATTCCAAATATTTATATTAAACTTAATAAAATGGTAATCGTAATCCAACAAATCTAATAGTTAAGACTAAAAACACAACGCAAGGTACCCTTTGAACCTTTTTTTGAGTCTCTACAACGCGTGTTGGAGTGTCGGAGAGTGTTGAAATGTCAGGGAGTGTCGGACACGACACGTCAGTATTTTTGAAGTGTCGGTGCTTCATACGTTATTGGTATTGTTAGTGTTGTTGTTGTTACAACTTGGAAGCACTTTTATTTATGCAAGTTGTAGACAAATTAACTCTTTTATAAAACTGTATATTGTAACATGTGTGGTGCACTAATACTTTGCTGTTGTTGTTTTTCATGGAAATTAACTTTAGGGAGATGGGTCAATGATCAAATTCCAACTTCCTTTAGGAGCTATGCTACTGCAAAATCAGAAAATGTTTTACCAGTGAGGAAGTAAGATTTCCTTGCTTTATAACACTATGTCATTTCTTCACATCTTGTAGTTCAAATCAATATGTTCATACCTGTGTCATTCATGAGAACAAAATATTGCCAGACTCCAATGATGGTGGCGGTTGCTTCATTTCGTCATGGTATTTTAACCAACTTGATAAAAATAAAACAAATGATTTTGAGTAACATAAGCTTCTTAGCATTGGACTTAATATACAATGTACTCGTTAAGTTCTAGTGCTTGGTGGTAATGCTACCATTGTTGAATTCTTTGATTAGTTTGGTGGTAATTATATAATTTTATGGTGGTAGTGCTTTTGATAAGGATGATGATTTTACATTTCACTTTAAGAGCATGAAGAAAGTTTTGCAGTTTACTGTTGTGTCAAAGGCTCTGAAGCCACTGTAGATTCTAAATGTTCCACTACCTCAGGGTCCTTGACGTAATCAATTTAAATGACTTGTGTAGGAGCCAAAGCTTAATTTGCTGTGTGTATTTTAAGCACTTTAGCTGTTCATCCTAAATGCTTCACGGGCATATATTCTTATGCTGTGAGGTCATTTTGGATATATCTAAGACCAAGGCATTACACTGCCTAGCAGGCATTTGGTTGTACATAAATGGTGAAGTAGTTTTCTTTCTTATTTTAAAGGAAAAAGGAGGGTCAAAATTGTTAGAAATGTGCAATGTTAGGTTCTATTGTCTATTTTCCGGAGAGGAATTTCAGAAATATTATGCAATAGATAGCTTCCTTTTTTGGCTTGGATCCTTATATTTTTATTCATGTCCATTTTAGTCATTAATTTTTTGATTTATTCATTTTGGTCTCTCAATTTATCAATTACAATTTACATTCACTATTATCCTTTTGATGATCCTTGATCTGTAAAACGATGGCAAACAGCCATTGATGCAGTACAATGGTAGTCTTACAACAATAACAACAAAATCCTTTTTCTCAGTAGGTAGTAGTCCTAGATGGAAAATATTTCCAACATGACATGTTACTATATTACAATAATTTAGATGGAGGATCACCATAAGGACAACATTAGATATAATTGTTAAATTGAGAAACTAAAATGAACAAATTGAGAAACTAAAATGAACAAATTGAGAAAGTAAGGACTAAAAGGAAATGAATATATAATAAAAATGACAAACCTTAATTAAGTCTATCAAGCAACAAGCTCTCCCGAGAGTTTAAGCTGTTTTAGGTGAAGCCAGATGAATGGTTTTATATATTATATTATATTTTTAGCACCTCTTCTCATACAAGAGCCCATTGGGCTTTAAGGGTGAACAATGCCCACAAAATAGTTATTATTACAAGATTTATGTTGGGATGACATGGCTTCCTTCTAGTGTTATGCTTTTGGTATCTTTTTATATCAATCATATGTTTGCTTTTTCTTCTTCATTTTCACTATGATAGGGAGTATTCTATTGTTTACCTTGTTCCTTCTATTAATAGTATATTTTACCCCCCCGCCCCCCTTTTTTTCCTTGAAAGAAAAGTATTCATGACACTGAAATGCTTTGTATGTATTTGTGCATTTATTTTAAGGAAAAAGCGGCTGGATGAAATATGTCTTGAAAAATATCAGCAATATAGTAGATCTGTCATCCAGTCATGGATTTTGCAAGGTAACTAATTTCATTTTTTATTTTCAGTGTAATATATAGATGCTCTGTTGACCTGCTCATTCAGGTTATATTAATTAATTGAATTTAAATCAAGTGGCATCTAGATATGTTGTATAATTTCTTATTCTAGCTGTAAAGAACCAATTCAACCCAAAAGCTTAAGCTGTTGGGTAAGGCTACATTAATGGTTTTATATATCTCAACACGCCCCCTCACACGAGAGCCCATTGGGCTTGAAGGGTGGACAATGCACAGGCCCACCTACCTGTGCGAAGAAAGAAATTCCACTAGAAAGAAAGTGGGAGGCAGTGAGGATCGAACCCGGTACTCCGAGGCTCTGATACCATGTAAAGAACCACTTCAATCCAAAACCTTAAGGTGTTGGATGAGGGCCTTTTTAATGATTTATATTATTCTCTAACACACCCCCTCAGGCAAAAGCCATTTGGGCTAGAAGCGTGGATATTGCATAGCATTTTATAGTATTTTCCCTAATTATAGTCAGATTATGGTCAAAGGGGTCTCTGAATGATTTTCAAATTCGTTTCTGAGAGGGAAAAATGCTAGAGCTAGATATGTAAATACGTAATCAAACTTGTTGAAACATTTTGGAAAGTTGTATACACTTGTACATTTGCTTTTTTTATGTGTTTATGTTTCTGGCCTCTCATTGGTGATTTTGTTCATGGTTCTTTCAAGTGTGTTATTAGTAATAAGTAAAATGTATATTGTGATGTAGAATAAATAATGTTAATTAGGATAAGTTTAGTTATTTATGTTTTTCTATTTTTGAGGATTTCATCTTCTCTGGTTGTACTCTCTGTCTGTCTCTCTCCCTTCTCTTTTAAATTTTCCTGTATGATAAAAAAATAATTTGATTATAAATGTTTTTACAGCCATGGATCCTCTTTTGTTGTTAAATTAGGGTAATAGTGTTATCCTCTGCCATGTGGTTTGCACTGAGATGTAAAAAAGCATAATGATGTGGTATCTCGATGCATCCTTTTAGCTGAGTGAGCTGGAGTCCTAGGGTCTTACATAAACTGATTTGTAAATCAGCATAATCGAACTAGATAATACAACTCAAAAAACAAAGTGCTACAACTAATATAATTCAGAGCCTTATTCTTTTTCTTTCTTTTTCTTCGAGCTGCCTATCCTTGACTCAATATGCTAAATATGCATGTGAATGTTTATTTTAGCAATCAAGAGTAGTTTGTCATCTAGACTCTTTTTCTGCTTATTCATTGTAAGGTAAGAAAATAAATTATTAAATAAAACTGATAACATATCTGATGCAGGCAAAGTATATGTGAATGGGAAGGTTATAAATAAAGCTGGTACCCCTGTGTCTGAAAAATCTGTGGTGGAGATATTGGCTGAAGTTCCCAAATATGTATGTAGGTGAAGCCATCAAGCTCTATTTACCTGAAATAATATTTCAATAGAAACTTTGGTGAAACTCTATTGTCGTTTGGGTTTTTTATATCAACACAGAGCTGGACATAAATTGGAAGCTGCCATTGAACAACTTGGTGTTGATGTTGCTGGTAAAGTAGCCCTTGATTCTGGGCTGTCAACTGGAGGATTTACTGACTGCTTACTTCAGTATGGTGCATCACATGTTTATGGAGTTGACGTAGGTTATGGACAGGTAGCATCATATCGTCTTTTGGGGGTAAAAACTTATAAGGAAAATATTTTCACTTCATCGAAAATTGATTTGCAGAAGAAAAAAATTCTTTTTTTTTTTCTCTCTTTTTTTGATTCCTATTTGAACGTATATTTCTGGAATTTGATTTATGAGGCTCTATGCCTTTTTAATTCTTAAGTGTTTGAATTTCATAATTTGATATATTTTTTTGCAAGTTCAGTAAACTTATGTAAATAATATCTCTTATTTTATTTTATTTTTTGGTGAGGAATATATCTTATTTTATAAGCTAAGCAAGAATGTCAAAACATGGTTGTTAGAATATTTAGAAAATATCAAATGATATCTTAAAATTAATTTATAGTATCTTAGATGATATCTTTGGATTAGTTTCCCTATTTCTGTATATATTATAATTTGTTTCCTTATTTGTTGAGTCTGCTATTAGTATAAGTAGGGGTTATTACTTTGTCTTTTGTATCACATCATTGACAATAATGTTATATTGTTATATAATTTAATTATTCTAAGTATTCGTTTCCTCCATCTGTACCTAAATCCCTATAATTTCAACAATGGTCTTCTGAATCTGCCTGTTTTATATGTCCTTTAGAAGAATTTATACACACTTCTTATTTTCCCATGTCCTTTCCCCAACTGTAGTACTTTACTGCATATCAATCATGCTTAGTGATTCACTATCGTAGGTAGCTGAAAAAATTCGAAGAGATGAACGTGTATCTGTGATAGAGCGAACAAATTTAAGATATCTTGCAGGACTCCCGCAAAACGTTGATTTGGTGACTTTAGACCTCGCATTCATCTCGATTCTTCTGGTAAGCTTTGAAATCAGGCTACTGTATACTCCTATTACCGTGTATAGCCTGTCTCTTGATCAGTGCCTAACATAACATGGTTCTAATAATTGGATTGGACCAGCCAGTCTAAACAGAAACTATGATACAACTGAGATTGTAAAAGGCCTTGGATTGGGCCAGGGTAGTTGGAAGCAATTAGTTAGTTAGTAGCTTAATAGGGAAGCCTAATGACTTGTATATAAGGGGAATACCCCAATGTTAGAGGAGCAGCTTTTGACAAATATTCGATTAGGCTGAGAGTGCTTAGTTGAAGGGTGTTGAGATATATAAAAACCATTAGTGTAGCCTCACCCAATAGCTTAAGATATATAAAATCATTAATGTAGCCTCACCCAATAGCTTAAGCTTTTGGGTTGAATTGGTTCTTTACATGGTATCAGAGCCTCGGTGTACCGGGTTCGATCCTCACCGCCCCCCACTTTCTTTCTAGTGGAATTTCTTTCTTCGCACAGGTAGGTGGGCCTGTGCATCGTCCACCCTTGAAGCCCAGTGGGCTCTCGTGGGAGGGGGCGTGTTGAGATATATAAAATCATTAATGTAGCCTTACCCAATAGCTTAAGCTTTTGGGTTGAAATGGTTCTTTACAAAGGGGAGTGCCCCTTGGCAAGAGAAGTGTCTCTTGTGCGTGTTCATTTGTCTTTCTCATCTATGAACAGATCCTTTTCTTCCATTCCCCAATTTTCTTTCGTTCTTCCTTTCTATGCTGCAAGTTTCAAGCTCTAAAGAATCCAGAGCCGTAAGAAACTAGCCCGTTTACCAGTCTGGTTCATCCTGTTTGACCAAACTTAGTCAAAACTGTTAAACCATTGGCAGAACCAGCCTCTTTATGATGAACTGGTTGAGCTGTTCTGGTTTTGATGGTTGGACAGAGCACTTTTTCTGACATGGCAACATATTAAGATGACATGTTATTTTAGTTAAAAATGGCTTGAAATGCTCAATGTGGGGACCGAACTTGGGCACCCATATAGTCATTTTTTTAGCAAAACATTTGTAAACCTTATCAATTAAATTAAAACTAGCAAACGAAATAAACGTTTTACAATTTTACTATTTATAGTATGTTTCTTAAGACACATTATTTATGTCTTTGTAAATAGAAATAAGATTTTGGTTGAAGTCCAGTTTTACATTAGTTGATACACTGAATGTGAACCATAACTCTTCCTGTTAAATGACTAGTCTGGTTTTCAGAAATCTGGTCTTGACTCCTACTCACTCCCCATGATATCCCGACTAGCGAGGGAGGGGTGAGGGCAATTATTGTATGCAGGCTTACCCTTTCATATTTGCAAATAGATTGTTTCACGGATTCAAACATGTAATTTTTCAGTCACGAAAGAGCAACTTTACCATTGCTCCAAACTCGCCCTCTATTGGATCTTGACTCCTACATTTACACAAATTCCAAGTTGTGACTGTGATTTGTGTTTTGCTTCTTAAACATTGTTTGAATTAGTTAGAATATTTTATATTTACATAAGCTATCTCTTACTACACAATCCCTCGATGGCTTAGGAATAGTTTGGGTACTCATGTATATGAGCCATAAAGGCATTCTAATGTTACCATATATATGGCTATTAACAACAACTTTTCAGTTTAACTTTTTTTAAAGTAAAACTTTACCGTCATGATCGTGTTTCCTTATTCTCTCAAGAATTACCTGTATGATTAATCTTCTTGATCCACTAAATGTTCTTTTATTCTTTTAACAGGTAATGCCTGCTGTGGTCAATGTCATGAAGGAAGATGCAGCATTAGTGACTTTGGTTAAACCACAGTTTGAAGCTCGTAGATCTCAAGTACGGAATACAAGCGGGAGTATAGTTTTTTATAAAACAATCATCATTGTGGTCCCAATCTCCCAGAAATAAAGATGAACAAAATACTATTTCTAAATTTGAATATCATCTTCTCTGCAGGTAGGAAGAGGGGGGATAGTGAAAGATCCCGTTGTCCATCAAGAGGTGCGTGATTTTTGACTATAGCTTATCAGCTTCTTTGTTCCCAACATTGTTCAAAATCTAATTTGGAGAAATAGAACTTATCATGAATTAACTATCTCAAAAGTTTAACCTATTGGTTGGGTGAAGAGATATAAATGGTTTTTATATGGAACACAACCCTGCATTATCCTAGCTTGTGTTGAAATTCAATTCTTATTTAGAAGAATGGGAGTAACAAGTATTGAACTCCAGATCACATGTCATAAAAGTTTTGATATCATGTCATGAACCAACTATCTCAAATGCTTAAGCTTTTGGGTGAAGACACATGAATAGTTTTTATTTCTAACCTAACTATTTAAAGACAAGTGCCATGTGGAACCACATACGCACAAACACACTGCTTTATATTCTGCCCTTAATTCAATTTTATCCCCTTCTAAATTCCAGCTGATTTGGAATTGCTTAGTTAAAACCAGGGACCAGCCTTATCATCTTGTGTGGGGCAGAGTAGTGTTTTTGGCTTCTCTGTGGGTTTTTGCCTATGGTGTCTTTCGCGAGCCTCTCAAATTGTTATACAACGGGGTTGGAGAATTCTTTTGAGCTAAAAATATAATTTCCTTTTCAGTTGTTTTGCTTTCTATGCTCTTTGGTTCTATAAAAAATTGCAAAATAAATACACAAGCCTTGTTAAATGAGAAGTCAAACAACCACCTTTGTAAAGATGTAATTCTAGGCAAGATCAACCTCTACTTTCTACCTTACAACACTCATCATATAATGTGATTCATATGTAATAATATTTTTGGTGGATTCTGTTCTTTATTTCATATACTTCAAGAAAAAACATTTTATAATAAACTGAAAGAAGGATGTGGTCTAAGAAAATCTACCAATAAATGAAGTTTCGATAGTCTACCAACAAATGAAGCTTCGATCTATGGTCTGTCTTGTGTTATACATTGGATTCGTGTATTATGATAACTCAACTCCATTAGGGACTACATATATATTGACTGTTTCAAAATCTGTTTCTTAATGACTGCAGTGCCTAGCAATGTAGGGTAATAGTCAGGACCATGCAGGAATAATAACTGCTGTTTGGTGAGCATTAGTAACTAAACCATGCAATGTTGAAACTTCATTCATGTGCACATCATTCTTAATTCTCTAAACAAAATTTAATGGGTGATTCAAGAAAAAGGCTAGGAGAAAAGGAAAAAGGGAAATATAGAAGAAGTCACAAGAGCACAAACATCTGAGTAGTGAGTAGTTTATCTGTCTCGATTTAAGTATTAAGGTCTATGTACCTTTCTCTTCATTGCTGCTTGCACAAACACTTATTTCGTTGAAAGGCCTAGCGTTGGAGAGTTGCACGCACTGCCTAGCTGGAAAGCAGCACCGGGTATTGTGTAGAGTAGAAACTATTCAAAAATTCAAAAACTATTTAAACACTGCATGTTGACTTGTAAATAATAGAAGAAAATGGGAAAGTGATTAATTTCTGCAATTCAGGTTCTTGAGAAGATTATCAAGGGTGTGGAGAATTTAGGTTTCTGCAGTAAAGGTTGGATTGAGTCTCCTCTCAAAGGTGCTGAGGGTAATACAGAATTCCTTGTTCACTTTAACAGAACACATAATGAAGGTTCCTGAAATCATGAAGAAATTAGACAATTTATACATGATGCATTTCTTCAACGTTCATAGAAGATTGCCAGTTTGGAAGATGTAACATGCGAGAAAGCATTATTCTTGTATTGTGATGAGTTGTTGATGCCGTTGAAATTTTGAGTAATATAAACATGTATTTGTTGCGAAATTTTGTATGAAACCATTAAAAGAAAGGGATGATGAACAGTGAAGAATGTGATGAGTAATATAAACATGATATTTTGAGCCTTGAAATGTAATTGCCAAATCTGCATCTGTTAAAATTCCTGATTCACCTATTAAACATGTATTTTCCTTTTTACCTTCACCGATACTTACGGATACATGGTCACATAAAAACTTGGTGAGGAGCTGCTTAGCCTTACTTAGAATTGGATATTGTTGTTTCTTCCTTTTGATCCCTTGTTTATTAATTCAAAATTTGTTGCGTAATGATGCTTTTGAATTTTTACGTTTGAAGTTTGAAGCATATTCTCTTCAGTGCTGAAATGGTGCATAAAGCAGGCATGGTCTCTTCAATCCACACCATATTAAGTGTTGGAGATGCAACATTATAAAAGATGTTTTTGTTGGGATGGGTCCCTTGATCAACGCGGAAGCGGTTGCAAGTCGTCATGTAGAGCTCATAGCTTGGCACTTGGAGGCCGATCGGCCAAATCGTAGAACAAGGGGGGAAAATACAGAAATGAGAGATGGAGAGAAAAACATAAAGCAAATTTTAATATGGAAAATCTCATCTAATGTAGAGGAGTAAAAAACACATGACTTAGTTCAGAAAAATCTTCCATTATGAAATAGTATGAGTGCAAGAGTTAAGTTTTCCGGTATTACTGGAGGTTTACGCTCAAATTTTACCAACAATGCTAGTTACAAAATTTTTCTCGAAAATGGTCAGTCTCAAATTTCTTTTCACAGAATTCTCATAAATGATAACCCATTCACAAGGGTCTTCCTATCTTTTATATAGGCAGGGTAAGACCCTTATTATTCTTCTAGAATCTTATAAAAAATGATGAAATAGGAACATTCATTGAGGGGATTGTCCAAACACTAAATTACACACGAATAAATATATGCATACTAAGCCAAGCATTAAATAGGGGAACCCAACCCAACAATTTTCTACCCTTTTGAAGCATCACAAATCCTCTGGAGCATTGTCACATTTGTTCTTGAAAATAAAATAATGTTAACATTCGATTAAAACGGGCCTGAAGCATTGGTCGATGTTCAAGTTCAAAAAACTCTTCCCATTTTGTATGCATTTATTTTCCAACAGTACCACTTCAATATATACGTAATTCATTTTATAAAAGTAACATTTTATCTTCGTTAAAAAAGTGTAAATTTTTTAAAAAAAATGTTATTAAGATGTACATGTTGAAAAGTTTGAATTTAAGTAAAATTATTTAACCAAGGAGTTAAAAGTAATCAACAGTGTCAATAGCCAATAATCCCACCTTTAATTCATGATTAACCAATATTTACTAAACCAAATAACAACTTACTTTAACCATAGCAATAATTAAAACAAATCCATTATGCACTCTTGCTTATTAAGTTTATATTGAACTTGAATGTAGGTAGATTTCAAGTTTAAGTTTATACTTGATTAAACTCGAATTGAAATGAAAAACCTTTTCCCCATATGCAACTAAGTCGTCTTCCCTTGGAAAAAACTCAGTTTAAAATTTAGCACTCACCATTGCATATTATGGTCCAATTGCATCAGTGGTAGAATTTAAAAATATATTTTACAAATCATTTTGATGCTTGGCCAACAACATCAATCTATTTACAATGACAACTACACCAATAAAAGTGAAGTGGGGTGCAGAGACTTTTTTTCACGTTTCCTTTATTTCATTTTGTGTTAAGCATGAGTGAGCTTCTTTGTTAGACTTAGGAACTGCAGTATCCAGCATTTCCAAAGGAATTTTAAGACCAACCACTTGTCCAATGACCGAGAACCAGGAAACCAGATACTGTTCGATAACAAAACCATTTATATTCAAAGATGTATCACCAAGGAAGAGCAGCTTCATCCAATCACTTGTTCCACATGGATGTAATTTGTACCATGGCCTCTTTAAATATGGGTGTTCCTACAAGATATAAATATATGTAACATTAAATTATTCGATGTATAGTACAGGGGTTATGAACAAAACTGGTGGTAAGGTGTGCAGATTAATTGTGGTTATTTTTAATATAAGATTTGGTTACAAACTGAAATGAAAATAATTTTTTTGCTAACTTCACCTATCTACAAGTATCCCTGAATTGCATTATATATTTTATGAACAATGTTCAACTTTAAAAAGCATTTTTGCCATTTCTATTTACAAACCAAAAATGGTACTTTTATGGTGATCTACTAATGGAGCTTTTTAAGGCATATCTTATCCTTAGTTTCTGCATTATCCTTCCATATCTATTCATAAAACTCATTTCATTAGAGAAATAATCACAAGCAAAGATCAGGTGGACCCAAAATTGATACATTTTTTGGTATTTTCAACATAAACAAAATTAGTAGTACAATAATCATTGAAATTCATAAGACAAAAACTATTGAAAAGACAAGAACATTAAAAGAAAAGGAAAAAGATGGAAACAAGTTATTCACCTCCTGAGTTATAAATGTCCATTTGGATTCTGATAGTAACTTTGCAGAGTGACCAGGAATGTCCTTTTCAATTCCATTGAACGGCAAAGGTTGTCCATCTACATAATCAAACAACAACACTGTATCAAATATATAGTGAAAATCATTTATTTAAATAAAAGATATTTAATTGTACACTGACACATAAGAATGCAGATGTAGATATGTGATAGTGCAATTCAGCATACAGAAAGAGTTATTTTTCATAGGTACTAGACAAGAAGAGAAAATTTAAAAGACCTAATTTCAAAATCAATCGGATTCAAGAAAGTCAACACTACCAACCTTGGTGATAGAATACAAAGCAGCACTTTCCTCCTTATAGTTGTATTTCCCTTCATTTTTCTAATAAAATATCTTTTACTACCACAAAAAAAAAAAAAAAAAAAAAATCATAGTTCCCAAATCCACAGCAGCTTCAATTACAGTGGCATTGTGGCTATGCCCTTACACCCTCCAACCTGACACAGATATAATCAGATGCAGGATTTGTGACATAGCCAGCATTTCTAGTATCCACATACAACAGAATAAATGTTGTAATAAGATCACTGGATCACTTCAAGTAACCAGGTTTCCAACAAAACAACCATAAAGTGGTCTTGGTTTTCATATTCACAGTTTTCATGAAAAGCATAATTATGCATAGATGAACATACCGCTATGGTATGAACGGAAATACAACACTGGAACTCTATAAGAAGGACTGTAGACAATATGAAAATCATAGTGGTTTACTTCATGCTCTGGACCTAGTAGAATGGAAGAAAAACAATATTGTTAGTAGTAGGAAAGAGTACTCAAACTGCCAAGAATGATAGTAACCAAATTCAAACAGTGTGAGATAAAACACAAGTTAGATTAGGAATACCAATTAGGCCATACATACTAAAGTGGCATAATCAAAGGGCTCTTCTCCCTGTGAGATGTTGCTTTCTTCTTTCCACGTCAAACTTCTATTACTTTCTTCATCCTGTAATGACAATTACAATCCACTAACTTACATAAATTCCATCTTTAAGGAGCTAGTAGTATACTGAATTGCTGACAGACCTCACTTGATTTGATAAGGCACATGTTCTCCAGTGATAAGTATCCTTCCTCCTGACAGAGAGACAGACACACAGAAAAATCTGCTGAGCATAGAAAAATAAGGCAGTGGATTTAAAAATCTAATGACAAAAGACCCACCTTATGAGAAGAAACCAAATGATGTTTTGAACAAGGGACCCAGAGCCATGGTGGAATGGAAGAACTGAACCTTTTCCACTTTTCAGAAAATGTAATAGCAGAAAGGAAAAAATCACTTGAAGAGAGAGTCCCATCCCAAGGGACTATGTCCTTAATAGTTTCTTTTACATCCATACCTACAAAAAGGGGGAGATGCATTTCTTATGATCAACAAGACATTAGCTGATCTGACTTTATTTTTGTTTGGTTGGAGATGGATCCTCTCGTGTGATTTCACATGACCAGGTCATGTGAAAGGTTATTAACGGTCAATCGACAAATCAACAGTGATAAAAAAATAAAAGAGAAAAAAATTTGGAATACAGGGTGGAAAAACGATAACCATTGATTTATCTGTCAAGGGTTAAGAACCTTTCACGTGACCTAATCATGCGAAATCACACATTAGAGAATCCATTCCCATATTCATAATAGTGTAAGAACTGCTATCAGTTATCAACAAGGTCGGAAAGTTTCATCTATAAGAAATTTTACAAGATACATAGAAAGTCATAAGGATATTCAAATTGCCTAGACCTAGATTCATTTCAAGAAAATCAATATCTTGAAATCCTAGACAAGTTCATATGCAGCCTAACAGGATCATATATGAAAAAGTGCTTCAAAACAAAGATGATAAAGAGAGAGGAAATATTATTCTCAATGCATTCAAATTCCAATTCCTCTTACTACCACAATAACATAAGCACATTCCAAAATCCAAAATCAATCTGCAATGAAAGAACAGCAATACCAATGGCAAGAAATGCATTAAAATAAAAATTTAAAATCAATCTCCAATGACTGAACACCAATACCAATCTTCAATGAATTAAACACTACTAGAGTAAAAACTCTCTTGTAATGTTACACGGTGTTAGCTAGTTGAACTGGTGCTGTACTGTAGTGCTGCACCTCCCTAGATTAATGTTGCTACACCCATGCAGTTAGTTAGTTTATCCTACGTGGCTTTCTGTTGTAACCACTTGATAGGGAAAATGTTAGAAGTAAATCCTCTCGTCTGTTACTTAACATGATCATGTCATGTGAGAGAATAATAATCATACAAAGATGAATCAATCGTTGCAGGATAAGAGGGAAAAAAATATATTAAAATAAATAGTTATAAAATTATGACAGTTGATTCACTTGTATGGCTATGATTCTCTCACGTGACCCAAACCACAGGCGGCAGTTCCAATTGTGTTCAAAGCGGTTCGGTTCGATTTTTATTAAAACCATAAAAGCCGAACGGAACCGCTGTACTGCCGTACAAGCAAAGTTCTGGTAAGTAATATCTAACAGTGGCTCCAAATTTATCAAAATTTACAAATGAAAGAAACAAACAGTAAATTTATTCATCATAAAATTTATAAATCAAAGAAAAACTAACAGTGGCAGAACCGTGAAAAGATCTTACAACACGTACCCAAGTGAAGTAAACTCTGGAATTGTTGTCGTTCTCTCCCAGCGTTCTGCTCTTCAAGCACGCAATTTCACACTTTCAAGATTCGGGGGAAGATGGTTAATGGTTTCGTCCTAAGTACGATGATGAAGAGTTTAACATTAGGGGTTAACCATGTTAAGATTAGACTAAAAAAATAAAAACACATGGATATAATTTGATTCAGTTTAATTTCATCCTGAAATAAAAAATGATATGGAATGGTTATATTGCCTACCTGTCTAATCTTTCAACCCTTACTACGTTTTTATCACAAGTAGATTACGACGACGGTTATATTGTCTATTTATTTAATTTTTTTTACTCTTATAATCTTTATTTATCACATGATTATAACGGTGATAAATAATTGATGTAATTAATTGAGAAAAATAAAAAAGAGAAAAATAAAAGAAAAATATTATTATATTTAATAAAGATAGTAAAGATAGTAAAACTAAACAGGTAAACAATATAACTATATAACTGACACAAAAAAATAGGTTATCATAAGTAAAAATAAGTTATAATTATAACCAATACATCCTGCGTTAGTCAACTAAGTATCGGGCCTACCTTAATCACACCATGGTTGATGTGAGAAGATTTTGGATTGAGCTATCTATTTTCTAGGCTATTGATAGTTGTTGATATACATTGGGTATGATTCTCTTTTGGCGCAATGATCGGAACAATGACTAAAGTGTCACTGTTGGCAAAAAAAAAATTACCAGACTACCACGCCAACAGTAAATTTTTCCAAAATGTCACGTGGCATATTTCTCTACACTGTGTAGCGAATTATTTGCACACATATTTTGCTACACAGTGTAGCGAAATATGCCACGTGATATTTTGGCAAAATTTACTGTTGGCGTGGCAGTCTGGTAATTTTATTGGCCAACAGTGGCAAAATGGTCACTGTTCCACAATGATCAGACTGGGAGGGGTACCTGCAATGACACTTTGACGTTCAAGTCAGTATCAAATTCAGGCTTATGTGGTATTCTTACTGAATTAGATTATCATACATGGGCATGTACCCTATATTTAAATAGTGAATCTGATGCTGCTTTGATAGGCGGTATGATTTCTTATTGATTGTTTGTGGGTTGTAGGTGACTTCTGATTGATTGTTTGTGGGCTGTAGGTTCAGCTGATGCTTCCTTAGCCTTATCTCATTATGTCAGACTATCTTGTTAGAATGGTGGCAAGCTGGTGCTGTCTTCTGTTCATTTGTTTAATGGTGCGGTGGATCTTCACTTGTATCATTGCTTGCTTCCTTATCTCTGAAATTATGTTAAAAGGCGGTCTAGGCGCGATGAATCCATCGCGCCCTCTGATCCTTTATGCGCGATCATCGCGCTTTATGTTGGGTCTTGTGAGTTTGAGCCTTGATTTTGGATTTTTAACTTTTAGTGGACCTACTGTATTTTATCCAGATCAATAATATCTCGAAAAAAAAATAATTGAAACCATTTTTCAATGCAACCAAGTTCATATATAAGATTATAATCATGAATGAGAAAGAGTTAATACTTTATTAGTATAACGGTTACGAGATCATAAATTGGTGCAAATTTTATTATTAATGTTAATGGTTACAAAACTCAAAATTCGAGTCATCCACAAAATAATATTTTGGGCAATAAAAATATCTTAATTTTGAAATCAGTTTAATGATTTGGTTCAATTCATATAAAAATACGGGAGAGGTTATATTATAATCTTTTTTCTATCACTACAATTTTATGGTTATTAGATCAAAATCAAATCAACAGCTATCGTTTAATATTATTTTGTAACTATTATTAATTTGATTTTGTTACAACATCATAAAATAGTTGTAATATGTTATAAAAGAAAAAAGGTTTTTGTGACCTATAATGCGCGGACACGGGACACGACACGACACTCTGACACGTTAATTCTAAAAAATGTTAAATTTTGACACGTTAGTACACGTTTTGGTATTAAATAATATTTTTAATATATATAATATAGTTTACATTTAATACATATAGTAACCCATAATAAGTCACGTAACTAATCAAATATTCAAAAGGAGCAAAATAAATTGGATTTATGTGTTTGGAATCAATGTTGTTAAGATCGAGATCTTACTTAAGATCAGGAGGAGATAAAAAAATCGTAAATCATAGAATCAATATGGATCGTAAGATGATACCTTAACATATAAAATATTAAATTCACACAAATTTTAAAAGAGTTTTTTTCCTAAGAATATGGGAATAACCTTTTATATATTAAAAGGGTAACCTTATAATTATATTTTATGTATGAGAATATTTAATTAACTAAAATTATATTGACACATAAAAATTTTAGTTATTTAATCACATAATTAACTGAAATTGTATGAGAAATATATAACTTAGTAAAAAAGTGCAGGGATGAGAAAAAACTCTTTTTTGCAAAGATAAGATTAGTCTTCCTTAAACTATTAAATAGCAAGTGGGCCCTTGAAATCCTTATATTTCAACTTTCCATTATCTCATAAGTCATAAACGGCTCTTTCTCTTTCTTCGAAAAGAATAGTTTTCTTCTCTATTCAAGCAACGATTTGTTTCTCTGCAAAGATGGTTACTGTGGATTTGGTCTCCGATAAACACAACACTGCCGATGACAACAGCCAGCTGCTTCCTCCCTCTCCGATTTCTAATTTTTCTAACTATTATTTCTCATTCTTAAGGGGTTTGGCCGAGGGTCACATAACCAATAGAGTACTGGTTCTTATCATTAAATTATAACCAAAACAGAACACATAAGGCATGTTGACAAGTTTTCCTATCCTTAGTTTCTTAACCTGGCCGAGAATGTCATGGACAACAGGGGTCCTAATCCTCATTATTACATCATGACTAAGCAGAATTTTCATTTCATATAGGATCCAAATTAGTTAGCTAAGCTTGGCCTCCAACATGTCATTATCACATTATGGCTTTCTTGTCTTAGGGTTGTTTTACCATATGCACAAATCAGAACCAAGGCCATGTAATGGTTTTAATTTTATCAATTCTATTTTCTATGGTTCCATTACCATCAATGAGTCATATATGTATACCAATAAGGACAGCCCCTTCCCCTTTTAACATACAACATATACGACATACATAAATGTATAGGCTGAAGTTATATACCATGACGGCCAGAACATATTTAAAACATCAGCCAATTTAAATTCAGTCATAATTCCTACTAAGAACATCTTATAACATTATCTATAAACAGAAATATTTACATATGTGAAATAATTTTCAAGGCTGTAACAGCCATGCATGGCCGAAACACAAATAGTGCAGAATTTGAGTTCCTCCTAGAATAACAGTCATGGCCGAAGCATGCAGAGCAAAGAAGAAGGTAGCTTAGGTGAGGTAAGGTAGCTGATTCAATTGGACAAGTGTTGTCCATGTAGGATGGCCGAAAATGAGGTGGCTTACATGCATACTTCAAGGGTTGGAGTCTCACACGCCACATTGATAACATGCATCCCATTAGTTGGCATTTCCTACATATATTATAATTCTAATTATGTTTTAGTTTTAGTCATAACTTGGAATTTAGCTAGCAAAATTATAATTTCTTAATCATGCTTACTATTAATTTAAAGGATTATCACAATTGTAAATATAACATTCCTTTAAAAAGATATATATAATGGGTTTATTAAGCTATGGGTCAATCTTATCTAACCCATTTTGGTTTAAAAAAAAAATCTTAATATATCATCAAACATTTGGATCAAATGATAAGAGGCTACTTCATTTTAATCAATGGTTTCAAGTTTGAATCTCTACAAATGTAGCTACTTCCTGCCTCTCAAGTGGGGGGTCACATAACCTCCTCGGATCACTTTGAGACAAGTTCTTTGGCCCCTCAAAGATTTTTTAAAAATTTGCTTGAGACAGGGTTTGAACTCCTGACCCAAGCAAATCTTTGTAAACTCATTGCCAACTGAGTTACCCTTGCAACCCATGTGACTTACTCGGCTCAAATCAAACTAGTTGAATAATCGATAAATCGATGGATAAAAATGAAAAATAAAAAGAAGACACCTTAGGTTGAGTGAGCTGTTCCATGGGCTTTGGGCAATATTTCTACCCTTAAAACAATACACACACTAGTAATTATTTATCTTGTACCAGTAGAATGAACTTTAAATACGAATAAATAAGGTTTAAGTATACTTTTTAATTTTTATATTATAATTTACAGGAGATTTTATAATTTTGTGACCTTAAATTTTTAGGCATTATACGAAAGGAGAAAATTTTGATTATATAAAATAAACAAATTAACGGGTTGTTTTAATGTAAACTATTTATATCGTATTATTTATGCAATAAATAATGGGTTCACTTTTTCTACCGTCAATGTAGATAACTCATCTACAGTGAACCCAGAACGACGTTGTTTTGAGGCGAAAATTAAGATATTTTTGTAATTATAATTTATTTCAGAGTTAAAATAGTCTTTTTAATTTTAATTTTTTAACTCAAAACGACGCTTTTTTAGAGCGAATGTAGATAACTTATTTACATTCACTTTAGACACATTAAATCCATAAATAATAATAATGTATTAATTTTGCAATAATTCAATTTGCATAAATTTCTAAGTGAGATTATATATAAATTGTATTATCTAAGGAATTTATTTTTTATATAAGTGGTCTAGAATTCAAATCTTGGAAATAAGAAGAAAAAAAATTATCTTGGGAAAGTCACTTTTATGTAGGTCTGACCAAATTAGTCCTATATCTAATGAACAGGTGAAGAAATTTTATATATATGAGTCACATAGAGTAAATTATATTTTCAATCTTGATTATTGATCTTACTTATATCTAATGATTCTAATTCGTTAGTTAAGTGAGTCATTAAATATAAGTGGATCAATAGTCAAGAATAAGTATAAAACTTCTTACTTTTACATTATAGTACAAGAATAACATTCCCATGTGTATGTATAATTTTCCTTTATTTTATTTTTAAGATTGGTAAATATTATAAATCTCTTGCAGTTTTCTTATAAAAGAAAAACTACCGATTCGAGAAACGACCTCATATATAATCTTATATATTTTATCTGAAAGTACGTATAAATGACCATACATGCAAAAAGAAACAACGAGCAAAGAAACTTCAGTAATTGCTTTCTGTATAATAGGGATAAATGACCATAAGTGCTTAACATAAGGGACTTTAACAACGCCAATATGAAATTAAACCTCAAAGCTTCTTCATTATCATCACACATGTTTATTTAAATTATATTCAACGTGATAGCTAACAATAAAGGAGTTGAATAGCTTAAAATATCTTGGCATAATCAATGGTCATCTTCCCATCATGAGCTTTCCTGAAAAAATGCTTCACATAATCCGAATACAGCACATTTTTATACGTAGCCTTCTCCCCACTAGCAAGCACTTGAGGCAAAGGACCAATGACATCAGAGGGTCTAGGGTTCACAAAAATGGGCACCGAAACCCTAGTTTTGCTTCCATTGGCTGCAGCTCGATGCTCAATGCTCTTATACCTACCATTGCTCATTATTTGCAATGCATCACCAATGTTAATCACTAGGGCACCGGAGATTGGTGGCACATGGATCCAGCTATGACGGTCCTCGGCCCGGACATAGAGGCCGCCGGTTTGGTCTTGGAGAAGAACGGTTAGGGTTGACACATCGGAATGGCGCCCTATTGCTACCGTTAAGTCTTGGTTAGGGCAAATGGGATAGTAGTTGAAGTTGATTCTCTTTGAACCCATTAACATTGATTCATTTGTCTCATCAATTTCCATCACGTTTAGCCTCTTCATCAACACACTTAAAAGTTGTTTAATTATAGTTTCGGATTTTTTCATGAATTCTAGTGCTTCATCCCTACAAACAAAAATGTCATGTAGCATTAACCAAAAAAAAAATGTCATGTAGCAAAATTAGTGTATAACTTCGATAAAAATGGTATTTGGAGAGACGTATCATATGAATGACAAAGTTCTTCCTACCAAATTTTAATACAACTGTATTCTTAGGGACTTGAACTTGAGATAACAATCCCTTACCAGTTAATTTATGTGCTTTGGGGTAATCTTTTCTTATATAGTTTGAGGGATATGAAAACAAAAAATTCTCAAATATAAAGTTACACTCTTTTCACTTTTTAAAATTAATTAGAAGGTTGGTAAACCTTTAAGTCAAAATAATGAACCAATAATTGAATTGAAAATAAGTCCAATTTATTTTTATTTTTTTGTTATTATTGAGTTGTCAATTTATTTCTTGTTAGAACTTTTTAATTGTAAAAAAATATATTATTTTTAGGTGGTTCTTTCATATTTAAATTTTTTTTATCTTATATCATTTTAATCTTTACATTAACATTAGTTTATTTTTTACACGGAAAATCTATGTACATAGAAACATGATTTATGTAATTGCTAGTGCAAGAATTCCCACCAAATACATTTATGAGCTAGCGCAAAGAGCTTTAAATGTGATTAAGTCTCGAATCACGATTAGTTTCATAGTCAACTTAAATTGTTAAAACTTCTAAGAATAGCTGAGGACCTACTCTTCTCAAAGAAGTAATTAGGGTTAGTTAAAAAAACAAAAAAAAAAAAAAAAACTAATGATTATAGTTATTTCATCAATTCTTGGTGATTGTATTCTATCTATGGTAACTTTTACCCCTTTCATGGATCTAACAAATACAAATAAATTGATGTCATATGTAAGAAATTAACTTTGTTATTCCACTTGTGCCGAGTCTCAGCCCAAACTTTTTATTTATCCCGAAAATCAATTCTTCTTTAGAATAAAGGTGAAGTAATATTTTGTGAGTATTGAGTTGCAAATTTTTTCTTGTCAAAACTTTTTTCGATAATTATTAATTCAAATAAAAAACAATATTTTTCTATCATAAATGTCACATAAGTTTGAACTTAAGATGTCGTCCTAGTCACTAACTACTCAAACATCCTTTACCACTTATTGACTTCAAATGACTCAAAAAAAAAAAAATATGGTTTTTACAATGAAAAAGAGAAAAAAAAAATTAAAAGTTTTCTCTCTTTTTTAACTAAACCTCACCAATAGAGAATGAAAATTAAAGCAAATTATAATTTCGTCAAACAAATGTAACCAAAGGAACTTTGGTTTCATGAGCAACTCTAAAGGCCAAATTACAAAGATTGCAATATTAATTTTTAGAAAATTATTGGATTGTTGGCAAAAGTAAAAAAATAAAAAATAAATAAAGGAACAATTATACTATGATATTGTTAATTAAATAAGTTACAGATTTAATTACCTTAATGCTTGAGGCCATGTTGCTGCAGCCTCATCCTCAGAAACATAGAATAGGCTGAGATAATCTTTCCACTCTAGGGCATTCTCTGCTTCAGGGCTAAAGCTAGATCCATACCTCACATGATTGGATGGTGAATTCTCTTTTGTGTACTTAACTTTCTCTTCAGCTGGCAAATCATAGAACCTATAAGTTGCATTCTGGACATTGTCCAGCACTTGGAGGGGCACCCCATGATTGATTATTTGGAAGAAACCCCACTTTTCAGCTGCATCACAAATTGCATTTGCCACATTTGGATCATCCCAATTGGACATGTCAACGATGGGAATGGAATTTTGAGTCACAATTTTGGCCATACTCATCCTTTCTTCCAAAGGTTGGATATATTGCTTGGGGAGGCTCTTTAGGCCAATTTCATAAAGACCCTTTACTCCATTCCCTTGAAGCATCACAAATTCATTAAGATCCGAGGGAATGGTCATTAGGGTCTCTACGGTTGGTGCCATTGCTTGAGTGGATAGATAGCTTTTTTTGCTAATTGAGAATTGCTTAGCTTAACTTGTTGCTTGGGAAACTCATGTCATGCACAACTATTTATACAACAGTCATGGTAGCAACTCAAAAGAAACAAAATAAAATAAAAGTTTGCACTCCCTTAGCTTGCTTTGATGTTTGCCTCACCAACTCAAATGGCAAGTTACATACATGTATAAATATAATAATCAATAAAACAAGCATGCGTGAAGCATGCTATATAGCGTTGGGGATAATAGAAAATGCAAGACTAGGTCAATTTGAAATGACCAGCACATAATCTTAGTGAAGCACCACATGTGTACACGGAAATAAAGGAATTATATATTTAGGTACAACCGTACAACTTTATTCTCATGATCTCATGTATACACCACCTTTGTAATTATATGTAACCTTTTATTATTTGTAGATAACTTTTAAAATTTTCTCTAACAATAAATACTCAAGTTCGTTATGTAAGGATGTATATACAAGCAGGATATTAAGTTGGTCATCTAAAAATATTATATATCAATTCGATAATATTTAAATTGCACATCAACTTAGTCCCGTAATATATTGTTTAGTCATCAATTTGGTTTTTAAATTAATATTCATTTTACATTATGAATGGCCAAATTATTATTTTTTAAGTAGACGCTCAAGTTATTTTTTATTTAACCAACGTGATTTTATTTAATACTTCTTTTTAACTATCATGAACCAAAGTAAAATATTAGTTACAATGTGAAAAATAATGTGAATGTGAAAACCTAGAAACAGCATATCTCATGCGAGAAAGCTTATCTTTAAATAAATATGAATGTTGGCATATATAATTTTATTATTAAACTATTTATATTAAGTTTAATGAGATTTTTAATATAACTATATAATATGTCATATATCTGCGCAGAAATTAGAATTTATCACATTCCCGAGCTATGTATAAACAAAAAAAATAAGAAATTGTATCACTGATTAATATATATTATTTAATAACATTAACTTGAAGCAATTAACGATACTATTAACTTATCAAAATAGACTTTTTCATTGTTCTTTATATTAATTAAAAAATAACTATTTTATCTTTGTCCCAAAATTATATATCATTTTGTCTTTGTTTAATCGATTAAAAGAGTCACTTAATCGATTAAGAATCAAAATAATACAAGTAATCGATTACTATATTGGTTTAATCGATAAAGTGTCGAAATCAAGCTTCTATTATATTTTTGCAGATCTCTAATCAAGTTGGATGCACCAACACACAATCTTCACCAACCATGGTCAATTACTTCGCTCATTAATTCGATTCTCCTTCAATGTAGAGGTTGATTCATCACTAGGAGAGAACATCTCAGGTAAGATAATTATTTCTCATTATATATATGCATATCGTGCATGAACATTAAAGAGAAGGATGTTAAGGGCGTCTCACGCGTGGGCGAAAGAATTTTATTAAAATGACACGGTAGCCTGAGATGCTCCTTGGTGGAGACATCTTTCTTGTAAACTATGTAATGTAATGTAATCTGTTAATTTTTTTTCTCTCTCTTTATCTTTGATGTGCAAAAGCTTGACGTGGAAGAGAAGCTGAAGCAAATCCATGACAGAATCGGAGGGTTGGTGCTGCCGTCTCTGTGAACATAGGTGGTGGCACTCTGAGGGTGGAGAGATAATTATCGAGCAAGAAGAAGACGAGGGAGAGAAGAAGGTTGTGCATGCCAATATCCTCTGCCTCTTTTTTGTCGATTCAAATGTATGTTTTCTTTTTATAATTCTATATGGATTTTTTATTTATATTTTTTTTTTGGTTACATTTATTTTCCTGATAATTATTCAGAGATAAAGATTTGACTGTATGTGCAAAAAAAAATTTATGACAGTTGCAGGATGAGACAATGTGTTCTTGATTTGAGAGGTTCTCTGCTAGTGATGAATCAACCTCTACATTGAAGGATAATAGAATTAATGAGCCAAGTAATTGACCGTGGTTGGTGAAGATTGTGTGCTGGTGCACCCAACTTAATTAGAGATCTGAACTGCAAAAATATAATAGAAGCTTGATTTCGACACTAATCGATTAAATAAGGGCCAAATGATGTATAGTTTTGGGATAAGTATAAAATAGTTATTTTTTAATTAATAAAAGACAAATGGGTAAAAAAAACCTATTAATTGAGTATTATATTTTGAAATAACAGAGCAAAAGAGTGTAAAAATTATATAAAAGTTGATATTTTCAGAAGTACTGAAGTTAAAGTGTGTATCAATTAGTATTCTTTCCCCTCTCTTTTTGGAGAAAATAGGAAACAAAACACAAGAAGAAACACACTAACTAATTTCTTTCTTTCAATTAGTATTCTTTCTCTACAATAATTATATTTCTGATATAAATATATGGGGAATCGGTCACAAGTGACGTTAAGATGAAAAAAGAAGAAGGGGGATGATGATTTTATTTTTATATTTAGAGTGAATCCCGGCGAAAGGTACACATATATTTAGTAAAAATAATACTAAAATGCTAGTATATATCATGGAGTCACTCATTGCTCATCTCACAAATTTATATAAATCTTTAGTGTGGTTGATTTTTATTTTTTGACAAAAATGGTGATTGCCCCTTTCTCCTAAAGTCCATAATTGTGAGCATTACCTGGTATTTTTAAGGCATAAGATATTACGTCTATTTTTTTATGTTTATTTTACTTAAATTTTTTTTATATCATTTAGATCACAATCTCAACTAAACTTAGTCTTTTCTTTATCCTTCCATTATTTTTTAAAATTTTAATTTAACGATGTTTAAAAAAGTAGGTAAAGTAAGCATTAAAATAGATAGTCATAATATATTATCCTTAATTTAAATCATATAAATAGTTATAACTTACATAAAGAATACATGAGTATGTTACCCAAAAAAAAAAAAAACATGAGTAATTTCGCGTTCCTAATATATATATATAGAGAGAGAGAGTTTTATAAGAATTATGCTGTAAGGAAAGTGATTGTGTAATGTTATAGAGATTCGTTTTGTGTGGCATAATTTTCTTTTTTTCTTTTTTCTTCAAAAAGTGTGGGCCTCACAAAATATTGTGTGTGTAGAAAAGTTTGTTGTGTCATGTTAAATGACAAATACAAACTCTCTCTCTCTCTATATATATATATATATATATATATATATATATATATATATATATTCAGAGTCATTCTGTTGAAAGTTTTGTCACGTGTAATTTATACAATGACTTGGATTCTTTTGAAAAGTGTACACTTTCCATCTTAAGAAAGTTTTTTAAAAAATTTAAATTAAATGCATCATGGGCCAAGTGGGACTTGATTCATAGTGCAACCTAATTAATTTTAATTTTAATTTAATAAAATTAATTTCAATTCTAATTTTGAATTTGAAATTGAAATTTAAATATAGCATTAAATTAAATTTGATCACAATGGAGAACATTAAGGAAGCCAATTAATTAGATTGATTGACTCAAGTTAAACAAACCAATTAATTAGATTGAGTAGCTCAAATTAAGGAAACAAATTAATTAGATTGATTGGCTAAAATTAGGAAAATCAATCAATTGGATTGATAAAGTAAAAAAGAAGAAGGAAACTATATCCAATATGACTGGGAAGTGATGGGCGCTAAACAATGGGTTGATTAGCCATCATATTTAGTTTCCCTTTTTTCTTGTTTAAATGAGACACTTTTCTTATTTTATTCCATCCAAAACCCTAGCCGAAAATTACTCCATTTTTTGGAAAATTTGCTGATGTTTTGCTGCAATTTTTATTTTTTTTATAACTGGCTTCTGTGCTCATATTTCTTCTGTTCTTCGTCTGTTTTTCTTCTTCTTCTCAAGTCGTTCTTCTGCATTATGTATTTCAAATATGTTTTTATAAAGGATCTTCATCTTACTAAGGAGGAGTAGAGGATTAAGGTTAGGGTGATTAGGACTTGAAATGTTCCTAATTTGTATCAAAAAGATTTTGACAACAATGTGGAAATGGTTTTGTTGGATGAACAGGTAATACTTTTGGTTTCTATTTGACATAACTGTTGTGAAATAATATAATTTGGTTTTCATTATTTTATTAATGTGTACGTTTTGTAGGGTGGAAGGATCCATGCTACTGTGAAAGGTACTTTACAAGTCTGGAATAAAACTTGTGAAGCAGATATTTATTTTATCAGAAATTTTGGAGTTGATTTAAATAGTGACAATTTCAGGCCAACTAGGCATGATTATCGTTTGTCTTTCAACTTGAGGATGGATGTTAAATCGATTGTTGACGCTACTTTTCCTGCCAATGGATTTGATTTTGTTGATTTTGACATTATTGAGAAAAAAACACCTGATTGTCCTTATTTAGTAGGTAATATGTTTTGTCTCTGATATTACTCGCTTATTTATTTTGTTTTTAAGATTATCATATGTCCAACTTCTTTGTTTTGTAGACGTCATTGGTTTACTATCAGGAATTAGGAAAGTTCGTTAGCATGTTGTCTCCAGTTGAAAAACGAAAAATGGTTGTGTTAGAGCTTGACAACCTAAGGTATTTATGTTTATCGTATGTTTATATAGATTTCATCTTGGATAAATGTGTTAAACTATATAACATGATTTCTTACAACCACTGCAAAATAGGAGACACAAGCTTGAGTGTACTTTGTATGAGCAGTATGTAGATCAAGTATAAACTTTTTTGACATATTTTGAATCTCCTCAGAATGTGATCATAGTCTAGCTTGCAATGATAAAGGGTTTTAGGGGTATTTTTACTAATAGTTCTTTCTCATTTTATGCTTTTGTTTAAGTATATATTGTTCAATTTCTCTGTTATATTGTATTTATTTTTTTGAATGTATAGGTAAAAGGGGAATAACAAATACAAAATATACCACAAAGATTCTTTTTTATTCCAATGTACCAGAGATTATGGACTTCAAAAAAATGTGTTGTATATACTTTTA